GGAATTAGCTTTCTCCCCCTGTTTCCTCCTCCCATTCTGATATCCCACTCCCACGATTTTTTCTGTCAGGATTCAAGAGTGAAGTGAAACCACTTCTGATCTGCCACCATGACAAGTAGTTCCTAAATCTCCTTAATATTGTCAGATCTTCTTTAATATCATCAGATCTTCTCAGGAAAATGACCCAGCCACCTGCAGCAGCCTCTGCCCACCCACCTCTGCCTCCACATGGATCATGGATCACAGAGGGATAGGGCAGCTCTGTCTGTGACCTTCAGCTGGCACAAGGCATGACACCAAAGATGTGCTGAACTTTTCCCAGACATACTTGTTGCAGAACTTCCAGTGTGCTCTAAAAAAGCAGGGAGAGGAGAGGCAACTTGGGATTTCGTTTGCAATTACAGGTTTCTCCTCTCAGGCAGCCATGGATGTAAAAATGCTGCTGCTGCCCCTCTGGCACAGCCTGACAGAGAAAATCGGTGTTTTTTTCACTTTGCTCTGGTGAAAGCACTGGAGATGAACTGTCACAGAGGTTCTAAAAAACCCTGATTCCTCTGCCTCTGAGAGCAGGATTAACACACCCAGCCCTCAGCTCTGAGCACAGACACAACTACTGAAGTGTCCCATTGCCCTGTCCCCACTGTCACCTTGCCAGAGCCACAGAGACCCTGGGAGGGAAATGTGTTCAGAGCAGTGTTTGCCTCCTTGTCCCTGTGGAGAGACACAACTACAGCCCTGCAGCCCCTCAGATGTTTGTTCCTCAGGAGCCACTGGACCCTGGCCAAGGGTTAGGACAGGTCTGGACCTCAAGAACTTTACCCTCCAACAGTCCCAAGGCTACTGTTCCCTCACCTGCCCAGCCAAGACAGAGCAAATAATCTGATCTCGTGAGGAGGTGGTGGCAGGGTCATGAAATGTCTGTGTCCCCACACAGATATGGAGAGGGCAAGAACGCAGCCTGTTCAATAGCCTCTTGTGCTCCAGCAAAACTCCTTGGCCAGCCCTGTTTTTAGGGGTTTTGCCCCTGCTCCTTCAAAAGCCAAAGCCATACCCAGAGAGCTGCCGGGGGCTGTTATTTCTCAAGGAGATCCCGACTAGAAAAGCAGTAAGGAGTGAAGTCCTCAAGGCTTTAAGGGTCTGAGGAGTATGAGCAGGCGTTGCTGTCCTGGAGATGGAGAGTTTGAGGAAGGGCAGTTCTGCTTTTAGCTGTGGGCTGTTATGTTAATCACAACAGGGTCACTCAGGAAAGGAAGAGCTGCGAAGTGCTAGATGTGCCATCTCTTCTCAAAGCACAGGAGACAACTGGTTTCCATATGGAGCAAGACCTTCACAGGGATTTTCTTCCTCCATTTTCCCTTCCATGCTTCTCTTCTTGTTACTTTGTCACTCCATCCCTGAGAGGGTGTGCTGAGGTGTGGGAGCATGTTCTGTGTGCCCACAGAACAAGCAGCTCTGAGTTGAGAAATGAGATGCTCCTTTTAAAACACAGTGTGATTTTGGTGAACGTTCCACTTCTTTTAGAGGACAACACAGACACTCCAGAGCTCTTCCCAGAGAAAAGGCAGCAAAGCATCAATCCTTCCTTAAAAAAAAAAAAATTAATTTTGAGACAAATGAACATTAATGCCTCCTCTCCTTCCAGCTCACAAAAAAGAGGCTCACTGGGAAACTAATCAAGTGGTTGATTGACTTTATGCATAGAAGTAGCTTCATTTAATTTTAAGTCAAGTTACTGTGACTTTCCTGTTGAAAGAGTGAGCAGAAAGGTAGGGAACGAAATCTCCATAAAAATGCTGTTCATCTTGAGAAGACCTTGACTGGCTCCTGCATTCCCTGATGATGCTTTCCATGGAACCCCAGAACAGTTCGGGTTGGAAGGGAACTTAAAGCTCATTTCATTCCACTACATCTTCCACTAGATCAGGTCGTGGTCTTTTCTCTCCACAGCCTCATCCCCATGAGGTTCATTCTTGTTTGTGTGTCAGTAAAATACAATAATCCAGGAAGAACCATGAACCTTCCTTGAAATATTAATCTGTAAATCCCATTTTTTAATATTTCTGAATTTTGAATTATTCAATATTCACATTATTCTATTTTTAATAAAAATAGAAGTAGGATGAGTATTGTGGACCTGAAGTTGGCCCTGCATGGCAGAAGGTGAGCAGGACAGTGCCAGTGTCTCAAATGAGACCTGTCAGGTCTCTTCAATGTGTGCTCTGTCAATTTTAGAAAAATTGATTCCTCTTGTAAGATTTCTGTAGGTCTGCATTACATTTATACAGTGTTTTCATGATTGCATGTCCGTGTTGTGACTCCTTGCACAGAAGGACACGAATTTCTGCATCTCCAAAATAAAGGAAAAATAAGATTTTAATAGAATCCCAACTTTGGGGATGGAAGGGACCTTAAAGACCCTCTGGTTCCAAACCCCTTGCCATGAGCAGGGACATTTTCACAGAGCCCCAGCTTGGCCAAAGGCTCAAAATGAGGTGGTAGAGGTGCCCACGAATGAATCCCTGGAGATCCCTGCACTGCCCCTGAACTGTCCTCCTGGGAGTGTGTGCTGGAAGAAAAGGGGAGATGCTGCACTGTGGAGAAAGAGTTGTATGGATTATCAATTCCCTGCTATTTTAAGTGTATTTTATCTCCAGAATTTGTCCAGGAATCTCAGCAAGCTCAAGTGCTGATTCAGCATCTCCTTGTTGTTTGGGGCTGTGTGGCACTTTTATTAATTACACGCCATTGTTCCTGAATTCAAATGTTCCTGTTTACCCTTCTCCCTCATTTCACTCTGAGAGCCTGAAGCTTATCTGTTTGTCAAATTTGGATTAATTGTCTGTCACCCTTCCTGGGTCTTTGTGGCCACTGGAACAGCTCAGGAATTGCCATTTTCCTCAGAAAAGGATCATCAAACCTGACTGTGCTGTCAGAGATCGTGGAAATCCATAAACAAAAACTCAACACTTGATGTGCCTTAGGAATACCAAGCCCCATAAATAAATTAATAAATTAACCAACATGAATGATTTATAATCATTATAGAGAGATGCTCAACTCATTACTCAGGGGGTTGCTTTATTTTCCCTTTGTTTGCTTTTAGTTAACAGCTGCTCTTATCCCGAACAACCTGACTGATTTAATACTGACAGCCACTTAGGACCCAGAAGAATTTCTTTTCTTTAATAAAGGTAGGTGTGGTAGTTTGGTCTAGGCCTTCCTTGGTGACCAGTTTGTAGCCAAGGAAGTGCCCAGATTCACCCAGTATTCCCTACGATTTTTACGTAAGCCAGACTATAAGAAGAAAGGAGGAGAGGCCTTCGCTCTCTTTCCTTCTGGCGGCTTGGAGGTGCAGGTTCCCTGCTGTTAAGTCTGTCGTGTTGGGGAGCGAGGCCTGGTGAGGCCTTGTCGACCTTGGGAGGCGGAGGTTGCCGGCGATCGTGACAGTGTGACTTTCGGTTGTCCCAAGGAGAGTAGTAAGATAGTTCTTTTGCTAATTTCTTTTAGTTGCTAGATATTGGGCTACTAATCGAGATATATATATCTTTTATTTTTGTTTTGTTCCTTTTCCCTTCCCCCTTCCCTTTCACTTGTGAAATTGTATATATATTTCAATTGTATATAACCGTAACATAAGTGTAAATATATTTATATATATATATGGCTTTAGCTCTCTCTCGTTTCAGTTTTCTTGGTTGTTTTTTTCCCTCTTCTCCCTGAGGTTTGTTGGGGGGGGGAACGGACTTCTTGTGGTAAGGTTTGGAGACTTGGCAGGTAGCCAGCTTCAAACCATATCAGTAGGTAAAAAGTTATTTTTTCTTGGAAATGATGTAAGATTTTATAACGCGTCTCCCATGCTGAAAGTGGGATGAGAGGTCAAAACTCATTGAAACTTTAGCAAAGTAGAAACCTCCCTGAAAATATTCATTTGCTGTTTAATTTTTATAGGTCTTGTTTTATCAAAGTGCTTAAGTGTATGTTTAATTTCCTATATCACAAATTTCAGCCCCTTGCTTAGGGGTTTATTGAATCAAAAATTGATGAGATTTCTGGGAAGCTGGAGAAGAAAATCAGAAGAAAACAAGGTGCTTTCCAAGAGTGCAGTGGAGCCATGAGCCTCTGTGTTATCTCCTCTCCACGGTGCAGTGGCTGATGGTAAGAACCTGTTATTTGCACAGTGATAGCCCTGTAGAAATTAAAAATTAAATTGAAATGGCACAAACAAGGCTTCTTCCAGCGTAGAGTGCTCCCAGGAGTGAGCTGGGAGGGATCTGTCCCTCAGACCTCTCTAAACCTGGTACCCTCCATGGTTACTTCTCTTCTGGATAAAGAGAGGAATCAAATCTTTTTACTGTTGCATTTAATTTTTCCTTTCTAGAGCCTCTAAAAGCCCTTCTCCATAGTTTTGGGGTTCTCCCTCTCTGCCCTGCTAAAGAGTCTCTGGTAGAACCACAGAATCCCAGGACGGTTTGGGTGGTAAGGACCTTAAAATCATCCAGTCCCACCCCGTGCCATGGGCAAGGACACCTTCCACTAGCCCAGGTTGCTCCAACCCGGTCTTGGACATTTCCAGGGCTGAGGCAACCACAGCTTCTCTGGGCAACCTGTGCCAGGGCCTCCCCACCCTCTGAATAAAGAATTTTTAGGTGCTCTCAAATTATCTCTCTCAATGGCAGCTGGGATTTTATTCCCATAATCCCAAATCTGTGCTGGGCAGGTTGTAAATCCCAGCTGTACATCAGGGAAGGGTTGGATTCCTTCTGTCTCCATCTGCAGCCTCTCACTTTTATAACTCCTTTGGATCTTTGTTTCCATCACAAGGAATGTCTTCATGCAGATGGATGCGTTTGACTGTGGGCAGGATCCAGAGAAGGGGATTTACAGGGCCTCTGGGCACTCAGGACACAGGAGCACTTTGGAACATGCCTTGGATATGATGAATGGGGAATATTATCTCCATGCTAATAAATACCCAGCCACAAATTGGCTCCATTTTAATTCATTCATCTGCTGCCTGTGGTTGGTGACTGACACTAAATCAAGGCTCAGACACATTAAACCTCTAATTACTGCTGATTTCTTCCTCTATTCTTTCTTTTCTCCAGGGCAATACAGATATATGGGAATATATCCATATGGATGTGCTGCCTTTGGGCATACTTCTGTCCCAGTCCTGTAGCACAGCTTGGTGCAAGATGGAGGAGGTGCAAAGCTGGTGTAAATCTCACCTGGCTCAGCAGCATCATTTCAACTGCTCGGGAGGTCTGTATTCCTTACTAAAATTCCTTACTAAACTCTGCAGGACTTTCCTGTGGGAATGATATCATTTGAACATACATTTGATCCCATACACGATACAACGTACTTGCTGCAGCATCTTCTGTGCAAAATGCAGCACAAACCCGTCCCCAAACTCTTTGAGAGTTACAGTTCACTTGCAGTTCCTTGTAGTCAAGACATTTGCAGCAATGGCATCTTGTTTTTTTGGCCAGAAAACAAGGAAACAAACCACTTGCACGTGGAACCTGCAAGCCTGATGTGTTCTTCCTCATTAAAGAAAAGAAAATAAAATAGTGTAGGGATAGGATGAGGGGGAATGGCCTTAAGCTGAAGGAAGGCAGGGTTAGATGGAATATTGGGAAGGAATTCTGGGCTGGGAGGGTGCCGAGGCCTTGGCACAGGTTACCCAGAGAAGCTGTGGCTGCCCCAGCCCTGGAAGTGTCCAAGGCCAGGTTGGAGCAACCTGGGCTAGTGGGAGGTGTCCCTGCCCATGGCACGGGGTGGGACTGGATGATTTTAAGGTCCTTACCACCCAAACCATCCTGGGATTCTATGGTTCAATGAAAACAAACCCCATGGCTCCCAGGCAGCCTCTGGGAAAGCTCTCCAGCACCTTCTGGGAATTTCTGGGGACCAATGTTGACTTTGAAACAGCTGAAAACTTTTAATAACTCTTTACTTCACTTGCCAAAAATATTATCTTCTGGAATACCTGGTTATTAAAGATTCAGAGCTTCTCATCTGCTCTGAGACCATGAACCATTTTGCACTGAGAGAATTCCAGTGTTTGCTGAGCACAGGTGTAAAAGCCTTTGCAGGGCAGAGCAGTGGGAAGGGCTTGGCTGCAGCAAAACAATTACATATTCAAGATACCCACCATGATCGTGTTTATTCTGTTAAATACAGCAGCAAATTCTGTCATCAAGTTGATTTTTCCTCTTCTACTGAAAGGCTTCAGAAGCTGAACTTTGGCAAACGGGGATCAGTGGCTTCAGGGCAGTCTGGGCACAAAAAAACTTCTTTGCTCTTCAGCAATGAGTAACTTCATCTGAGCTGAAGCAAGACTGGAGGTATGGCTCTCATTATTTATTGTTTATTATTATTATTTACTATTTTTTATTCTTTCTTAGAACCAGTTTTTGGTTGGGTTCACCCTCCACACTTTGTGCTGGAGCTCAGACAAGAGGTTGTGTCAAGGATATGGTTTATGATCTTTGTTATAGATCAGATTAAATGATTCAAGAGGTTCTTTTTGGCTGTGAAAACAGAGTTTGTGATTCTTAAAAATAGTGACAGTGTGCTGGAGACTTCTCCCAGGATTCCCTATGGAGATGGACTCCAGCCCAAGATGTGCACAAGGAATAGTGCACTCTGTGCCAAGGAATTGGGTTAGGAGATCACTGTGGTTGAGGTTACAAATGAGGTGTATCAGGTGGGTGGAAAGACAGAAGATCTATTGGGACATTCCCATCAGCTCCTGCATACCCATTCTCCCCTGGAGAGGGGTTGATGGACATCCTGGAAGTGAAACATAAAATACTGGAGGTGGGGCACACCAGTGTTTCCCTCCAACACCTACAGTCCTTGTTCGAAAGATGGGTTTTAACTTCGTATTTGTCTAGTTTGCAGAGTGGATTCCTGTGGTAGCATTCCATCATCCTGTGATTATTAATGGAATTAATAATGGTATTGATAAATTAATAAGGGAGGACATTTCACATTCTTCACAATTCAAACAGCTCAGGGGAGTGTGATGGTCCTGAACATGGGGATGGTGCTGGGTCGATGATCTTAGAGGTCTTTTCCAAACTTAATGATTCTATGACCTAATCCCAGGATCTGGTTCTGGTTCCCAGCAGAACCATCCTCATCTCCAGCTCAGCCTCGCATGGCACACATGGACTATCTGTATTTCTGTGTTTATTTGTTTAGAGCCAAGCCTGAACTCCCCTGACAGCCGTGATTTCTGTAGGATCAGGCTCAGCTCAGAGCACCTAGTTTGTTTGGTTTTTTTTTCTCCTTGGTCCTCTTTTCCAGGAAGGCTGATAAAAAGCAATCCAAAGGTCCCCAGTGGATCCAACCTGTCAGCTCTGACTGTGCACAGGGACGAGATGCCCTCAGCGGTGTGAGGTTTGATCAGACCCATCCAAACACAAAGATAAGACAATCTTCTTCAATAATTGAAGTGGTATTAAGGTCGGGCCTCTCACTTTTAGTACTTTTCAACTCTCTTGCCAATTATTTCCTTGCTCTTTGCAGAGAAATTACACTTCTCTCAGTTTGGCATTTGTTCTGCTCTGTGCCACGGGCTCCCAGCAGCTCCAGCACAGCCTGACCTCCCAGAGCAGCGGGAATATCATAACTTGTTTTCATGGAGACTGGAGGAAAGAAATAAATAAATGTGGCTGGGAATAGCAAGGCTTCACCTGCTGCCTCCAGGATAAACCAGGGAGAGCCATGGTCTTGTTGTGAGGTTACACGAAGAAGAGGGGACAGCCCCAGGTGTTGTCCCTGTCTCTGTGTCACCAGGGCCATGGTTGGAGCTGTGGGATTTGTGTGGCCTCATCATTCCCAAGGGATGGGGAGCAAACCCCAACCCATGTGCTGCTTCACCAGGGCTACCCCTCAAGAACCAACGTGGTGGGCTTGGAGCAACCTGGGCTAGTGGAAGGTGTCCCTGCCCATGGCAAGGGTGGAACTGGATGATCCTTCGAGTCCATTCCAACCCAAGCCATTCCACGATTCTGAGACTGCCCAAACATGGCAGGGATGGCATTTATTCGGGATGTGCTCAGAGTTACTGGGTGATGCCCCAGCATAAGCTGGGAGATGTACCTTTAGAATACACCACTGAAAAATTCCATAAAATTCCATCTGGCTGGTGGAATTGCAGCCTGGGAGCCAGAAAAGCTCCGATTTGAATCCCAGTCTTATTGCTGAGCTGCTGTGTGGTCCTGAAAGATCATTTCTCGTTCTTCTCTTATGCTTTACTTATGAGGTTACAACACTTCTGGAGCAGCAAATTTCTGTCCGAGGAAAGTTTTGATGCTGTCTGTGCCAGGGGTGGCTTTGTCATGGTTAAGGTTTCTAGGTGAGTTATATAATTATATATTGATATATATAATTGTACATCTATTTATTTATTTATAATATTACATACATAATTATATATAATGCCTATAATTATATACAATATATACCATTATATATAATACACGTATAATTATATATAATACATATATAGTTATATATAATACATATATAATTATATAATATAATAATAATAATATAATGTAATACTACTATCATTGGTAACAAATAAAGTTCAGGAATGCTCTTTGGGGCCAGCACTGTTTCATTCTCCCACATCCATCTGCTTCCAGGTCCTACAGGGATCCTCCAGACACTGCTGGTGAAGGTGGGTCTTCCAAAACTGCCCTGACAATGAAAATGGACATCTGGTCTGAGATCATTCCTTTTTAATTGATGCTTGGAGGGAATTTCTTAGAATAATGACTTTCCTTGTCAGAGGATTCAATCTGCCCTCACCCTGCATTGGATATTTTCTCACACAGAAGAGCAGGTGAATTTTGTCAGAGCAGAAGGTTGGGGTGGGTTAATCCCAGAAATTCTCAGCTCAGATCCTCCTTACCCCTGGTGAAATGAAAAGCTGAACCCAGGTGGGACTGCTGAGGTGGTTCAGCTCTAAAATTGATTTAAAAACACAAGTCAAAACTCCCATATTGGGAGGGGAAATTTTAAGCTGTGTCAAACCTGCCTTGTAACCTCCTCATGCCCACTGTGGCAGCAGCTACTCCTGCCCTGTCACAGGCACTAATTACCCCAAACAGCACGTTCCTCTGGGAGCAGACAGACTTTTCCAGGCCTTGTTATTCCTCATTACTTGAATCACTGTGTCTTTATCTCCTTTGATTCTGCTGGGACACCCAGGCAATTTTCCAAGGCTGTGAGCATGGGATTCGGAAGGAATCATTGCCTGGCACTGATGCTGAAGTTGAAGCTGCTCTCTTGTGACTTGCCAATAAACCAGAAGGCACTTTGCCACCTGGTACTGCTCAAAATTGGGGTTGGGGTGAGATGGTAAATTGCGGCCTTTCCCTTTCTGTAGCTGTTTGATAGAGCTGGTTTGGGTGTCTGGTGTAGTCAAACTGAAGGTGTTTTACCCTCCCTCGTATTAAAAAAAACAACAAGCAGTTGAATTGAGCTCTGTGTTCCCAGAAGTGGCTGCATTCCATTAGAGTTTGCATATGATGGGAGGAAAAAGATTGGCACAGCAGGAAATACCTTCTTTCCTCTCTTCTTGTTCCAGAGGGACCCGGAAAACTCATGGGCACTGATGCCCTGAGAGCTGTGCTCCAACTCCAGCCTGGACAGTGAGACATCCAGGTGATTTATGTGTGTCCTGGTTTATAGACTCCAGTCCAGTTCTTCTGAGACTGATGGCATTCCTGGGATACCAGTCTGAAAGGAAACTTTCCTCCCACAACCCATGGCCCTCTGAAAGTTGTCCTGTGTCATTAGTTGTCCTGTGTCACTGCCTTGTGCAGGATGTGTCCCCCATTTCTGGTTGTCTGAGCTGTTTTGTGTCAGTGGTGCTTGTTTGTCTCTCCTACCACCTTCTGGTTCCTTCCTTTAATGTTTGCCAGCTTTATGTTTAACTCTTAAAGAGTTCTAATTAGCCATCAGCCATGAACGCCATTAAAAAAATGCCAGAATCATCCTTGAACTCTCATCTGTCTTTTTCCTGCTCTGATGGGACTGAATTCCTAATTACAAAGGAGTAAGGAACAAGAAGATACATAAGATCAAAGGAACTTACTAGATCCTGCTTGACAGTCTGATTATCCTCAAGATAATCTGTCCTGGTGCAGTCCCAGAGGAGAAGGATGAGCAGCCCTGGAGGCAGTGGAAGGAGATTGAGGCTGGTGTGAAGATGTATGTGAAGGCCAGGTTCATCCTGGCACAGTCCTGCTGGAAATCCCAATCCCACAAGATTAATGGTGGCAGGAAAAGGAATGCTGGGGGGGGCTGGGGAAGTGAGGGCTTGTTCCAGCTCAGTGTAAGGTCTGGCAGGGGGGCTGCACTCCCCAGGAGCCCCACACACACCCGGGGGGGGTGCAAGGACACATCAAGGTGACAAGATGTGTCACCAACCCAGAGATGGTCATTTGCCTCAGAATCCTGCAATCATTTAGGTTGGAAAAGACCTCCCAGGTCTTTGAGTCAGCCACTGAACAGCCTTGGGCTGCTGCTGCTCCTGCTCCATGGTGACAGAGAAGTTTTTGCCTCAAGGAACAAAGAATGGTTTGGGTTGAAACGGACTCGAAGGATCATCCAGTTCCACCCCTGCCATGGGCAGGGACACCTTCCACTAGCCCAGGTTGCTCCAAGCCCCTCCAACCTGGCCTGGAACATTTCCAGGGCTGGGGCAGCCACAACTTCTCTGGGCAGCCTGTGCCAGGGCCTCCCCACCCTCCCAGCCAGGAATTCCTTCCCAATATCCCATCTAACCCTGCCCAGAGGGCAGTGGGAAGCCATTCCCCCTTGTCCTGTCCCTTCATCCCTTGTCCCCAGTCCCTCTTCAGCTCTCCTGGAGCCCATTTAGGCCCTGGAAGGGGCTCTCAGGTCTCCCTGGAGCCTTCTCTGCTCCCGGTGAACACTCCCAGCTCTCCCAGCCTGGCTCCAGAGCAAAGCGGCTCCAGCCCTCGAAGCATCTCCATGGCCTCCTCTGGACTCTCTCCAGCAGCTCCATTTAATTTTTATGTTGTATCATGGGATGGTTTGGGTGGGAAGGGACCCTTAAAGCTCGTCTCATCCCACCCCTGCCATGTGCAGGGACACCTTCCACTAGCCCAGGTTGCTCCAAGCCCTGTCCAACCTGGCCTTGGACACTTCCAGGGATGGGGCAGCCACAGCTTCTCTGGGCAGATATTTCATCATTTCACCATTAACAGACTTTTCTAGTGTTGGACCATTTGGATGTGGAAATTCCTCCAAGGTTCAGTGTTGTCAGTCCAGGATCCTTGGCAGAATTTCAGGAGGAATTTTGTCCTGTAGGAAGGCGTCAGTATTTCATCCAACAAACAACTGAGCAGAGGAAAACATCCCACATGTCCTGCCTAGTTCTAAGCAAGACCATGCAGAATTTCTCTTGCTTTCTCCATTGGGAATATGGACCCCAGTGGTCTTTGCTGGAATTATAAGAAGGATATGGCCCTGTTAGGAATTCTCTGTCGATTTGGCCCACTGCCAGCAGCTTCTGCAAGGTGAAGCAGAGGGGAAATGGTGCTCTTTAATCCTGGATCTTGGACTGCACCAAAGGCTCCAGCCCTTGGTAACACAGGACCTGTGTCAGGACAGAGGGAACACACTGGATGCAGGTGGAGGAGCCATTCCTGGGGGAAGGCAGCCTGTTCCTGCCTGGGGATGTCTGGAGAGAGACTGGAGGGATCACAGGATGCTCCAAGTCTCCATCCCTCTAAATAGCAGAGAATTTGGAGTCAGCATTTACATTCAACTCTGTTGCCTCAGTGCCAGAGTGATAAGTCAGAGAGACAACAAGAGTGTTTGAAAATTTGACTTGGAAAGGTGGCTCAGATTGCTCAGATTGCTCAGATTACCTTAAGGGCAAACTGGGAGGACATGGCAAGGAAGGAAAAATTGGGAGGATGTGAAGACAGAGGACAGACAGGCTGTTTGTAGGAGCTGTGGAGGAGTCACAAGGGTCAGGGAGGAAAATAAACAGTGGGAGAATGGACAAAGTATATTCTGCTCCCAGCACTGAGACTGATTTCTGGAATGATTTTGAACAGTTCATTTATCTGGGTGTCGCTTGACAGAGCTGCAAACTTGACCTCTTGTTGCTGCTGAACAATTTTTAAGAGGAGCCCTGAAGCCCCCGGAGAACGGGCAGTTGGGTGGGTGCTGCTGGGTCACCTCCTTCAGTTCTAATCCAGGAATTAATGCAGAGTCTTTGTGCAACAAATACGCCCCTCTCTGCTGAAAAACACAGTGATGGTGATGATAAATCTGTGAGATGCTCTGGATTCTGTGGATGAAAAAGGACTTAGATGTGCTGGGGGTCATGTTTTAAGATTCCAAAAATAGAATATCCCAGGGCGCTGCCAAGGTTAAGTGGCTGCTCGAAGCTGTTGCCACAGAGTTTCCAGGAGAGAGTGATTTTTATGGACTAAAATTGGCAGCTGTGTGGCTGCCTGTCAGGTGGGCACTGTTCTGTCTTGGAGCTGGATTTTCTAAGGTGGACAAGCTGGACCAGAACTGCTGAGGGTCTGTGTTTACAGAAGAAGCTTCTCTGGCACTGACATGTTGTTTGAGGTGTCTCTCCAGTCAGAGGAGTTATAGGTGCTCACAGAGATGTCAAAATATTGAATGTTAAATTATTTCCTATTTAGATAAAGTTCAAAAATGTTTTCACAAACCTAAACCAAAATAATATTGTCCTGTAAGTCTGGTGCCAGCACTACAGAGCCCCAGGGCTGGTGCCCCAGGGGGTTTTGCACCACATGTACAACTGATTTAGACATCAAGGAGCACATTTGTCATAATAATTCATTATCTTTGATTCCCATAAGAGAAGGATGAGGTGTCACTTTCCTTGCACAGAGCTGGAAACATGACTTCTTGTTGTTGCTGAACGATTTTTAGGAAGAGCCCTGAAGCCCTCAGAGAATGGGCATAGGTACAAAAGGAATCCAGGAATCTGAAAATACCAGAATGAGCCTTCCAGGAATTCACTGTTTTGAGGTGGTTGAGGAATGATCAAGGTCCCTGCTCTAAAAATCAGTCACCTGGGTTTAACACTCCATGTGAGCAGCTGGACCTTCCCTGAGCAGTGTGTTCACCTGAAGGTTTTATTAAACAATTATCACTGGCAGCCTCTCTGTATGTCAAGCAGGGAATTGTTCTCCAGCAGGCCCAGGGATGGATGTGTTTAACAGTCCCACATTTCCAGCTGCAAACCTAGCTTTGAGCTGCAGGATTTGCTTTGCTCAGTTCTTCCAATTGATCCCAGTCTCAACAATCTCGGTCCAAACTAGTTTGGGGAGAGAAGGAGACAATTTCAGGACAAATGGACTTGTATCCACACCACTGAGAAGTAGGTGAGTGTATGAAGGTTTCAGTGGACCTGTGGGGTTGTTCTGTGTGCTCCAGACGCACCCTGCAAACAGTGACCAGGTTTGGAGACACTCCACAGTGTTCAGGAGCTCTGGGATCGAGTCCAGAGAAGGGAACGGAGCTGGGAAGGGGCTGGAGCAGCAGGAGCAGCTGAGGGAGCTGGGGGGGCTCAGCCTGGAGAAAAGGAGGCTCAGGGGGGACCTTCTGGCTCTGCAACTCTCTGACGGGAGGGGAGCTGGGGGAGGGAGGGACAGGCTCTGCTCCCAGGGAACAAGGGGCAAGATGAGAGGGAATGGCCTCAAGCTGTGCCAGAGGAGGGTCAGGTTGGATATTGGGGAAAAATTCCATCATGGAAAGGGCTGGCCAGCCCTGGCACAGCTACCCAGGGCAGGGGTGGATTCCCCATCCCTGGAAGTGCTCAGAAAACGTGTGGATGTGGCACTTGAGGTCATGTTTTAGTGGTGATCATCGTGGAGGTGTTGTTGATGGTTGGGTCTGGGGATCTCAGAGATCTTTTGCAACCTTAACAGTTCC